AAGGGCTCTACAAACTGCACTGCGTATTGAAGTCTTGATTGTAAGGAATCGGATGCTCTGAGTCATGTTGCGTGGGTCATCTACGGAGCTCGATGAACCTGCGCAAGCCGGTCCTTCCGGATGCCAAGCGTCCCAACGCGAGCTAGCTCGCCCATCCCAAGGTGTTGAGTATGTTTTCGAAGGTCTCATGGCGCTGTTTCTCGTGGCCGCTCTGCGACTTCTTGTCGCTCGCCAGGTGGAGCTGGGGCGGAAGGGTTCGAGCAGCTCTGCTTGCACAGGGCTGGAAGAGCACGGGCACGTGTGTGAGTTTCGTCGTGTCCTCCTCGGTTTGGAGAAGATACTTCAACAGACGGCCCACAGCTTTCAATTCTTCAGCCGCTGCACAGGACATGCACCAAACCCAGAGTGAGCGAGTCAGGACTTTGCATCGTGGGCAGCCTCGATGGCGTCGTTTACTTAGCTGTTGGCGAAGACCAGGAAGGCGCAAAGTGAGAAGCTTCCAGAGGTGCGTCTCCAGTGCACACCAGAGGGTGGAGAGAGTAGGCTGCTGCAGCTCTTGCAGCTTTCTGTTGCCAGGTTTTGGGCTCTGCTGGCAGCTTTCCGTTGCAGCCTATCGGCAAAAAGGGGTCGGCAGACAGGCTGTAGGCCATCTCATGGTGTACACTTGGCAGAGGCAGGAAGTGGACGCGGCGGGCCCACGCGTTCTCAGGGTTCAATCCTGGTGCGAGGTGAAACCCGGTGCGATTTGAAATCTTTGGTACGATGTGAACTCTGTGGTGCGATGTGAAATCTTCGGTGCGATGCGAACTCTTTGGTCCGATGTGAACTTCTTGGGGCGATTCGAAATCCGTGGCGCGATGTGCAATGCTGCTGCTCTGTGTGATCCTGGTGCGATGTGCAATCCTGGTGGTGCGATGTGAAATTCTGGTGCGATGTGCAATCCTGCTCCGATGTTAAAATACTGGTGCGATGTGCAACTCCGGTGCGATGTGCGACTCCGGTGCGATGTGCAATCCTGTCGCGATGTGAACTGGTACGATGCTCAAGCAATGTGAGACTATGCCGAAAATGGTGGGGCTTTAGGCTCTACAGCTTAGGATGTAAGGCTTAGCGGATGCTGGCTGCTACTAGTAGCTGCCCAGGCCCCTTCTTGGTGCAGCCCTTCTCGCGATCCTGCTTCCCACTCTACAGATGTGGCTGCAACCACTACGTTCTTATCTCCGATGGAAGCTGCATCATCGGACTCGTAGGAAATAAGAGGTTCGGGTCCCCGCTTACAAAGTTCTTGCCTGTAACTCGCACAACGCCCTGGCGCAACTCGTAAAGTTCTTTATGCCCAACGACGCCAGACGCCCGCATGCTGTATAGCGGCAAGACAGCGCGGGCTATCTCCTCCGAGAAGTTCCCGGCGATGCAACTTTCCCTTTGCTCAATAGGGAGTCACAAGTCCCAGTCCTGGCTTCCAGATCATCCTGCTGGACTCTGGCCGGAGTTTCAAGAGCTGCGTCGTTGACACCGCAAAAGCAGGCAGGAGGCTCTCTCGGAGCTTTTTGCGAAAAGTGCCGTCGTTTAACGAAATCTCTGGTTCTACCAACCGTCGAGACCTCAGAGGCGTCTGAGGCATTGTGTCGACATCTAACACCGTGGACTGCGTCGGAGGACTGGCCTGCGTCGGAGCACATTCTCTGAAGCTTCCAGGGACTGTTGAAGGAGTTGCAGGTATGTCCAGCGACACCGGGCTGTCGTCAGAGTCACCGTCCATCATGTCAGACCGCACTGCGATGTCAGCCCTGCTGCGATGTCAAACTCTGCTGCGATGTGAGATCTTGCTCGACCTAGTGTTTGCTCCTGTCTTGGCCAAAATGGCGGTTGCTAAGGGCTCCGCCCAGCATCGTGCAGCCGGCCTCTCACGAAAACAAAGAACATACTTGTGCACGACAGAAGCTTGCACACTCCAGACTGCAAATCCAAAACCAGCCGACACCGGAGTCTGTTTGGCGTTCCCCTTCGAAGCCACGGCCTGAACTGCCTGATCGCGTGGTAAGTTGAGCCGCTCCTGGCTGTCAGAGCTTCTCAACGAATCTGCATACCACACGGACTTCTCGGTTTCCACACTACCGAACGTCGCTGCGGGTTCCAAGCACGGCACAAGATACTTCGGAAGACCTCAAGGTGAATAGGCATTGGTTCAGGCTCCGAACACTGGGAAAACACCTGGCTTGGGAGAAGGTGGAATCCATGTACCAAGCACCAAGCCCGTGAGTGCAAGGAGGAGCATGAACACGCATGCTGCATACTGAGTCTATCCAGGAGAGTCTCAAGCAGCGGGCACTGCGAAAGGTTCTGAACAGTTGATGGGAAGCTTTCAAGGTCGTTTCCTATGGCTCCCATCCCGAGCCTGAGCCATCTGAAGCCCTGCAGACTCCAGCCCCAGTACAAAAGGCTCTGCATTTCACCCGACGTCTCCGTCTGGAGCAGGCGCGATGCGTAGACGCAGCAGTCCTGTCATTGGCCCTTCGCATGTCTGGCAACAAGACGTGTTGGTTTGGGTTTCAAGGCAGTGATGCCATCTACGGTGCCAAGAGCTTCTGCAAGCACTGCCCTGGGTTGCGCAGCTCGATTGCTCGAAGATCTTCATACGCATCCCTTCACCAGCCCAGCAGACCTGAAACTCTCAAGTCTCTACACCCAACAACCCGAACTCCAACAAAACTCAACCCTCAGCTCTACATCTTTTCACCAAAGGCTGGGGATCATGCTCAGTCTCGACATTGATGCGGATGGTGCTGCTGTCATGGCAGTCGTCATGGTCATCATCATCATCATCATTATCCTGGCAAGCCTGCCACGGCAACACCGCACCAGCACCTCCCTAGCAGCGACGTTGCCTGGAAGACAGGACTTCGCTCTGCTCCGGCCATTGCGAGCTTCGCCACCGGTCGGGCAGCTTGGCGAACGCCTCTGGGCAGATGCTGTGCCTTTTCGCTTGAATGTTTCAATGCTGCGGCAGGTTGTGGTGTTTTGGGTCCTCGGGAAATTGTTTGTGTGCATGTTGGTATGTAGGCTTATGTAGGGTAAGTGTGTACGTAAGTGTGTACGTGCCTGGGCGTTTCCCTCCCCCCCACCCGTTTTGCCACCCACAAGATATAGCATCAATTCTCGCAGAGTTCTGGATCTGTCAGCACTCATGCGGCATCGTTGTTTTAAAGCAGCCAGAACCTGCGGAATTTGACAGAAGGACACCGACTAGCAATGATTAGTAGCTATTCGTCCATCTGCGCGTTTGCGTGTGCGTATGCGGGGCAGCATGCAGACAGCATACTGCCTCTATCCGTATACTGACGTGAGACATAGTCGGGTTTCATCACGGAGGCTTGTTTCAGAAGTCAGGCTTGGGAGGTGGCAAGCAGCGATTCGAAGTATTGCGTATTTCGCCCCGGCGCGGGGAGGCTGCTGGACGGTGCAACGCGAGAATTGGGTTAGCAGTGCGAGAGCGCAAGACAAGGATAGGTGCACTTTCCCACCCTGTGGGGCTGACCATACCTGAGCAGAAAAAAGGGCCCAATGCATCATCTCCACCCACGCATGCGAAGAAGCGAAACGACGACACCATGACATGAGAACCATTCGTACTATCTCTTCCTGTGCAGTGCTCAACTGTGCTGGTCGCTTGACATGTTGGGTCAAAGGGCCAGGGGCAACAGGGTCTTAGGCGCGCACCGAGCAGCATCAGCTTGTTGAAGGGCAGCCGGGACAGCAAGAGAACCTTGGTCGCTCACGGAACAGTCTGCTTATTTGCGACAGCAGCATTGGGAGACAGCATTGGGAGACATAGCACAAGAGAAAGATACATGCTTGATTGTCTTGTTGCAAATCATAACTCACAACACGTAGAAGTCCGCTTCTTCAGGCTGCTAGGCTTTGGGGGTACGGGTTTACTTGCATTATTGGCAACTTCAAACCGTACATTGTCGCACTTTGGGTGTGAAATCCCCACTGCAGCAAAATTCTCAACACATGTGCTGAGGGTCCGCTGCGAATGCTATGAAGCTTTAGAGTAACGGTAAAGAAACAGGGTCTGCTTGTAGCTGCACCATCGTCTACTCCCATATCATGTCAACCTTATATCTCCGACCGTCTCGTCATACTACACTGTCCAGCGCTTCGTCTGAAAGCCTCATCTGCCGAACCTCCGAAACTGTGTTGCTGCAGAATACCATGCTGAAAAACATTGTGACAGCGTCGATAGCTCCAAGTGTTTCGTACAGCACGGTTTGCATGATCTCTCAAGAAAAATCCCCTCAGGAAAAGGAGTGTTGGCACCCGCTCACATCCAAGACCCTTGCCATGACTGGCAATCTGCACGGGTCGGCTGTCCGAGAGGCTGAATGTTCAATGCTCGCCTATGGGCACATGCTACAGCTGGGGAGTTGGTAAGAGGATCAAGAGGAAGAGCCACATGGCTGCTGTAGCTCAAGCTTAATGATGTGATTGCAGTCGTAATCGTATGCCGGGCCATGCTGAGCTCGATAACATCTGACTCAAGGCAACACACCTGAAAGCGGCATCGGATGGGAGCAGGCAAGACCAAGTCCTCCATCGCATCATGTCCATCCCTATTTCGTTTGTCGACCCTTTTTGTCCGCTCGCCGGTGCAGGCGTCTTCACTCTCAGAGCAACCTGAGGCCTGGATCACGCGGAGCGCGCGGAGCCCCTGACAGATTCTGTCGAAGATGGGCCCGAGCTCGGCGGGCAAGCGGACTGGCCGGGGTCATTCTTGGACTGCCCGTCCCGACGACCCCACAAACTCGCACAATGATTTGCTGCCTCACTTCAAAGACGACATCCCCACCGCGAGGGTGCTGCACCGTGTGCAGGACATCTCGCCCATCATGCCTGTCGACCTCAGCCCGTGCAACCCTGTTTTCCGCACCAGCCCAACTGTGTCCGACTTGCCTGCGGAAGGTGACTCGCAATGCTGCAAGGCCACGATAAGGCATCTATGCCAGCTGGGCGTAGCCTAGTTTCTCGTCAATCAAATCCAACCTAAGCCACCAGGCAGAAAAAAGTTCGCATTCTCTCCGATCATCCCTGGTGCGCCTCGTCTCCCCCACTGGTCCCGGTGACTAGTCTTCCTTTTAGCTGAACGATGGCCCAGCGACTGATCTGCAACCTCTCTCAACTTCGCATTATGCCTGGCATAGCGGCCAAAGTGGTTGCATTTGATTTTGTTGGTGCACGCTGCCGACTGGTTGCATGATGCTGGGGCACGACGGGCGACCAGTCCCAGCGCTGTTCCGCTCAGATTGGAGCCAGGCACGATGCAGGAGCAGGTTTGCCTTGCATTGGAATGCCATTCCCCATCCCTGGCCCAACTGCCAGATGCTCATATAGTGCGAGAGGAATCTCAATGTCTCCATCTGCAGAAACTGGAGAACCCTCGGCCTATTTTGCAACTTCTCGACTCCGAATGTCTTTGCTCCCGTACGCAGCTGAGAGATCTTTGTGCAAAGACGCCCTGAAGTCGACCGAACAAGTTGATACGTCTTCTCGTGTGTATGGATAGACATCCCGAGTCCCAGCAACCGCAAAGAACTTGCTGCAACAGTAGGGTACATGTCGTGGTTGTGACGCAGGCAGCATCAAAGAGTACACCGACGGCCATCACTACCATCGTCGCACACACCACGAATCAGTCATGACAACGACGGACAGCGACGACGAGCAGGACGAGGATCAATGACTGCTGCGTCACCAAGGTACGCGACGGTTGTTGAGCCGGAGCTTGAGCACTGAGCTGGCGACTTGAGCTGCAAGCCTGGGCGGGCAGAAGGCTCTACAGGGCTGGGGTTAGGATAGCGTTTGCAGGGTTGGCACTCCTGCACCTTCCTGCCAACAGGGTGCACTGAGTCCTCCACAGAAACAAACCTGCAGGACCGATCCAGATCTTGCCCAGCTGCGTGTCTGGCGAGGGGTGTCAACAGAGGTTTCGGTTCAAGCTCGGCAATGCTCTTGACCGTTTCCCCCTCTCCCCAGCCCCCCGGGCTTCGTCCTGCAAGGCTGCTTACGTGTCTCAGCGGTCTGCAAGAGCACATCACACCGCCGTCGCCGCCGCAGTTCAGGATCGTCAGGAAATCCACGGCGGCCCAGATCGCATTCTTCAAGATGAACAGGATCCTTGCTAGGTTTGAGGGGACTGCTTTACAGGAGCTAGGGCTCATAGGCTTTGGGCGTGTTTGGGATGGCTTAGGTCACTCAAAGGGAAGGCCTCGAACTCGAACCTCGCTTGTATTTTTCCGTTGCTGCGAGGGGCCGGGCGTTGGCGATGTCCACAGTGTACCAGTCCTCCAGCGAATCTGATGCAATCTCTTCGATGGCTCCGTACTAGTCTATGCAGTCTATACGGTTCATCGACAGATCATCCAAGGGTCAATGTATATCCGCCAGCAGAGGAATGGGAGCTCCAAAAGAAGAAGCGAGCGGATTGCATCCAGGAGCTGCGCCCGTCGGAGAAAGTGATCAAGCTCGGATGCCTGACCAAGTGGGCACCAAACCCGACAAGTGGTGACACAAAAAACGGATCAACATCTCCGGAAGACTTCAGGACAGTCGTAGCGCGCCTCATCCATATCGTCATAGGACAGCCAGCCCGCGCAGCAGCTTTTTCTATCCTGCCATGTGCCATGAGACACACTCCAAATCAGCTGCCTACGGTGGCACTCCTCTGAATGGTCAATGCTGGGATGGATGTGCTCCAGCGGGACAATCTGCTCAGACGGACTCCGCCCATCCGTGAACTTCACCAGGTAGGCCTCCCGAGAAGCGCGCATCGAGGGCTTCGGACGAAAAAGGTGCCGTCTCCAACATGGAAAGCACCAGCGCTCAAGACCCAGCCTCGGAACTCCCTGGAGTTGCCGGATGCTGTCGGAGACTTTGGCAGAGGATTCCTGTGCTGCCGGCCAGGATATAGAAACACGGAGACCATCAGACATCAAACCAGGCTGCTCCAAGTGTGATCCGACAAACTTCGCTAATCAAGCGGCGAGCACGGCGACGTTCGCTGTGGGAGCCATCCTGAACATCCACCTCTGACAGGATCCCAGGCCAAGCACAGGCGCAGGCAAGACAGCAGAGCGGTGAAAATTCCGACCGCTGAGGCCACCACACACACGGGATGTCCGGTGTTTTCAGTTCCTCGAAGATGCAAGCAATCCACGGCACAGGCTGAGTTTCGGCGGTAGGATTAAGCCGAGGGCATTTACTGGTTGAAGGATAGTCATTGCTTTAAGAGATCGAAAGGTTCACAGCTACGTGCCATACACACGCACATACAGTACATACACACGCATACATACAACAACACAATGCAACGCAATGTAAATCAATACAACGCAACGCAATGCAATGCAATACAATGCAATAGAATACAGTACAGCAGAGAACAATAGAACAGAATAGCATACAATAGAGGATAATTTATAGTGACTACAATAGATTACAATAGAATACAATGAATTGAACAGAAACCAATAGAACGGAATGGAATACAATGGACCGGATTAGAATAGAATAGGCTGCAGCAGAAGGGGACTACAAGAGAACACAAAGACGACACGAGACACGACAGGACAGGACAAACAGGCAGACGCACATTCATACATTCTCTGCAGCCAGGCTCCTTGCCGCTCCTTCACACTCCGACGGAGCAGCTCCAGGGCTGTTTCCGCTGCTGCCCTGGCCTGTCAGGGCCGTTAGGAGGACGTTGTGTCGTGCACTGCAGCGGTTAGAGGATGAGAAGCTTGCAGTTCCGGTGTGTCCGGGCAAAAAACCAGCGCTGTCCAAGTTTCACCCCGCCCCCCCCGCCCCCCACCTCGTGCTCGTCCGAGCATGCCAAGCTGTCCTGAAGGTCATGTCTCTGATTCAAGTGGGGACACGCCTGACCTCTTATGAAGTGAAAAGACGAGTGCAGGGTTCAGGATTGGGGGCATTCCGGTCGGAAGTGCAGGTACGAAGCGTGTGTTTGCCGCGACTGTTGTGCAGACGGAGACACTGGCAAGGAAGCGTTTAAAAGAAAGTCGATTGGAAGCATCGCAAAACCTATCTGGCCGAGGGTAGATTTGCCGTTCGCATGCATGAACAGTCAACAAGACAGAGGGGAAGGAAGAACGTTGCAAGCACACATCCATACGCAACAAGCAGCATGCGCTAGGGGCGGGGTGTAGGGCGTATTCGCTCCAAGGGCTTCACCTGCAGACGGCGCATCTGCTCTTCCTTCAGCTCGTCGATGCTGGGTGCCTTTTCCTTCCAGGCTCTGCAATCACAAGCTTGGGGAGTTCATTTCAAGGTCGCGGTGGACCGCTGCGATCTGTTTGATTTTAGTGGCTGGGCTGCCCTTTTCACTCTCACAAAGCTGCAACCCAGAACCCGGAACAAGTATGCCTCCGACATACCCTAACCCTATATGCAGGCGGTGGTTCGGTGCCTTGGCTGCAGGCATCAACGTGGTGAATAGCGCAGGAGACAGCACCTTAACTTTGTCTTCCAGGTGATTTTGAGGGTTCGGGCTGTCCTCACATCTCAAGCACTGCGCGGAGGATCCGGAGTGGACTCTGTGACTCTGCGCTGTTGATGTGTCTCGAATTGCTACGCGGGTAAGCAGCCACCTCGAAGTAAAGCTGACGAAACCAGACCCTCCCCTGATATTTCAACAGTATCCACGTGTTATCACGAGATGAAGAAAGATCCTGTCATCAAGCTGCCCGTCTTCAGACCCTGGCTTGGGGACCTACATGCTTCTTAAGCTTTAGGACTAGTAGCAGGCGTCACCTACAACAAACAACTGCAAAAGCGCGGCATGCCCATGTGGCGATATGAAGATGTTGTGACGAGCCATGAAGACAACCAGGCAGGCGGCGTTGCATCCTTCGGGCGCATGCTGCCGTCGAAGTCGATGCCATACGCAGGATGGCGAACTGCTGGGGACCGGATGTTGTCACCTGCAGTCCAACAGAAGCTTAATGTGTTCACCAGAAAGCAAGCATTCACGACCCACTCGTCACTAGAATGCTCATTGGAGCCACTGAAAGCTTGAACGGTGATCTTGCCCAGTCGCTAAAGACCACAGCATCCAATATGTCAAGCCAGGCGCCGCTGGTAAAGGAGTTAGCAGCAGGAGTCGATACCCAACCACGCACCACCCAACCCAGCATCAGAATCGCCAGCCATCTTACCAGCATGAAGACGTCGTCTACTCTCAAACCAAACTCCATCAACGGCTTTCCAAGGACAACCCTCTCGCACACGCAGCACAGCTGGCCGGCGACGACCTCAACTCATTCGTGGGTGTCCTAGAGTCCAGAGTTCAGTTCCGCTGGGAGCTTGCGCCGTGGAACTGCCCTGCTCTTCAGCTAGGTCACGACGGTTTCCACGCAAGCTCCATCTGTATACTGCTTGCCAGACTCGAAGGGCATCGTGCAGTTCTTCGTCACCCTCAATCGACATGCCTGAAAGCTCAGGATTCATCTCTGCGCTGTCCCAAGGCTCTACTAAGGCTTTCAATGCTTTCGGGCGGAGCTGCAGCACATCTATCAACATCAACGATGCAGCATGATGAGAACGGCTGGTCGCATGCATACATCAGGAAAGGCTCGGCTCCATCGGGAGTTAATCCGAGCGCCAGCATGCAGTCACCCCCCAGCCCCAGGATCTTTGAAGGTGTCCGAGGCACAGAGTAGCTCCAGTTATTCTCGCGCAGGCAGGAGGCCAAGGGCGCACCGAGAAAGGCGGGGACCTCCTGGTTAGCAGAGTGTTTTCGGGTTTTGGGGGCTGGGGTTTGCGAGGGGAGGTGTGGCTTTTCCAGGGTCCTACTTAGCCTCGAACATCACCATTTTTGGCTGAGTTTATCCCCCCAATCCTGCATTGCCATTCTCACATCGTGCACCCGATCCACAGGTGTGGATGCATCGTATTCCACGTAAAAGGCCGAGAGATAGATCCTCAGAGCAGAACAGTGGAAAACAGTTGCGTTCTCCCAAAAGAGCAGACCGCAGTAAGAGGCTCTAAGCCGAGGTGCACCCACTGCAAGGTGCCCGCCAGCATGAAGATGGCCTCAAACCGAAACTACTACCCGACACTAACCCCTCGAAGCAATGCCTGAATGGCTGACAGTGCTACAGCCTTGTCCAGCCCCATCATGTGACTACTTGCGGCAGACATACCAATTATGTTGGCATCCCCTTTGGAGATTCTGATATTGCTGCACTGTGTGCCGTGACTTGTCACGTTCATGTGGCGTTCTTGGTGCTTGCTGTTAGTGTCGGTGCTTGATGTCAAGGGTGTCCTGGATGTTGTCGCGATAGACGCTTCCGAATCTGCTAACTTGCTAGTTGGACTAAGGTCGCAGCAGTGCCGATTCGAACGGCCCTAGGGCTCGTGCGGACGTGAGGCAGACCCCAGATGCCTAAGAGAATTTCATCAGGGAGATAGTTTTGGCTGAGGAACTTTAGCATTTCCAGCTTCGGGGACTCCGGGGTGTCATGTTCAACGAATTAGGCTGATGTACAGGCTCAGGCTTCACGACACTATTTTGAGTCGTAGAGTTTTCATACTGCAGATCTGGAATAGTTTTTGTGGTATTGGGGATCCGGTATCTTCAAGTCTCAAGTGGCTGCAGCGCTTGGATCACACTGCCCCTGGAAGACCTACTTGATGCCGGTCCGTCATCCACAATCGCTTGCCTGCTGGGACCTTGCTGCCAAGATGCAGAAAACTCTCATGAGGCCTGTCACGATGAATGTGCCCCAGCAAAAATCCACCAAATCCTGCAGCTGAGTTCCAGTAACTTCAGGCTAAAGCCTCTTGTCATGCTTTCTTCAGGGGCATCCGCTGAAGCATGAACCTCCATGCCTCCATGCTGGACATGTTTTACGGCTCTGTCGGACATGTCCATGCTTCTCGAGGCGGAGAGAATGCCCGGAGCATTCGGCTGGTAATCAGCTGACAGCGGCAACAGCGCGCTGAGTAAAGGAGTGCAAACCGCAAACAGGGAGCCCATGCCCGGCGGCGCCGCGCGGAAGGTCCGTGCAACCACGGAGTGCTTGCTTGCAGCTGGCTATAGGATATTCACAGCCACAGGTGGGTGTTGTTGGACAGGTCATAATTGCAGCCAAAGCGCTTTCGCATCCACGGGGATCCATTCTCAGAAAAAACGCTGGGTCAGGTCCATGCGTATGTCATGGTACGGCCTACGTAGAGCGAACAGACCTCTAACCAAATCTCAATGGAATCTGAAATCTGAGTTGTCAAGATTTGGGCAAGAGTCTCTCAAGTGGGGAGAAGTGCACATCCTCTTCCCGCACCCATCTGCTCATCAACGCCTGCCGTGGCAAGGAGTTCCTTGCTGAGTCACGTGCCTTCAGCTCTTGTAAGTGCTTGGCGCAGAACAACAGCTCCACGGAGATCGCCGCAAAAAAGGGCTTGCGCGAGGCCCGCAGCCTTCAACGGCAAAGAAGAGTTCGTCAGGACCCAAAGCCAGGGTGAAAGGTGATGGAAGCCTCTGCCCAAGGTCTAGACCGAAGCGTTCCTCCGTTTTGTTGGAAGCCTCCCGCGAATGGATGCTAATTTTCTGGAAGTTATTGGGGAATCTCCGCATTCCGAGTCTACGACCTCCACCTCCTCCTGAGACGATTCGCCCTCGCTGCCGCTGGATTCCGGAACAGGTTGCATAGCGGTAAATTCCATGTGGGCAAAGGGCAGCTACGCAGTCCATGTATATGGATGTGCTTGGGACATCGAAGGTTCAGCATTCGCAAACACAGGGTGCATTGATTGGACAGTGCTGACACTGGTTGTCTTTGTACTTAGGCTTGCAATGCGCGTGTTGCTTAGGGCACCGCTATAGGATCCGTGTGGCACGGGCCTGGTGCAAGCCATCAGGGGACAATGAGGAGCAAGCATCTAGCACTAGCCGAGCTTGCTTCGAGTTCGCAGGCACTGTCAAAGAGCCAAAGTTATCACCTACCGTCTCGGCTGCGAGCAAACACGTGCACTGCTGTTTTTGAGACAAGCTTGATCACAAAGTTGTTGGAGGATGCAACTGGCAGGGTCGGTTCACTACTGCATCAGTTAAGGCGTCGCTTTGGGAGCTTCAGGAACGCTCGCGGCAAGCCGGCAGTCGAGTGGTCATTGCACTAGTGTTGGGTGAGACCGAGCATAATTTGCTCGGGAAGGTGCAAGGGATTCTGTCAAGGTGGGTCCTGTCACAGCAGTACGCAACACATCCAAGCAGTTTGACTGCGGCGCGTTGTAACAAGAAGCCATCTAGGAATCTAGGTCAAAGAGTGAGCAAATTCAACAGCAAGCATCGAAAGCAAACAGCACTGCAGCCTGAAGTAGGAAGGCGGTGGCGAACGTTGACTTGAAGAGCTGATATCTGCAGTGGCGATGTACATTGTCGCGATTGGATCCACAACGCACGGGAAAGTCGTCTCGAAGTCGGCAAAGCAACGGATGCCTGCAAGTCAACGCTGTAGCAATTCATTGTATCCTCCCCCGCCATGCGGGCTGTGGTTGCATCCACCCTCCAGCCGTATGGCAACACGAATCCGTCGCAATCACCGAAGAAGTCGTCGTCCGCGCTGGGTTTCAAAGTGCCACCTTGAATGCTGCCACCGTAGAGATCTGCCACGTAGCTCAAGCTGACGGTGCATCGGCCGTCCGGCAAGATGACGTTGGTAGCGCCCATAAAGGTCATCTGACCGTTGCCGCCACCCCAGTCGTTGACCTCCACGAGCTGCAGAACGAGCTCAGCAGACGAATTGTTAGGGCATGTCCCATCCGCAATGGGAGCAATTTGACCTCGGCTCCAGCAAACCCTGTCATCTACACCGCTGTCACTTGCTGCAAAGATCCTGCTTCCCGAGATCCTAAACTCTCCGGCAGCCAGAATGCCGCGCTGCTGCCTAGTCGCCGTTCCAGAGTGCACCCAAGCGGTGCGACGCGAGACTCAGAGCGGACCCCGAACCTGACCCCAAGGGCCATGAGGCGGTTGCTGTGTTTTGACTGCACATCTCAAGTTCAAATTCTCCTGGGGTTCGTGCCATAGGAGTCACAGGGTTTCGAGACCCCGAAGTCAGTATCTTGGAATGTGTCTCAACATGCCAAGATGCCTTTAAAGACCGGCTCCATGGGTGGTGCCAGAGAAGCATTGCAGCCGGTTCACAAACACTTTATGGCAGCTTGCTTGAGGTGTCCGTGCCTCGACTTGCCCTAAGTTTCGTGGCCTTTACGAACTCCGTGATGCGAGAGGTGGACAGGGCTGCACTGTCCAATCGAACCGTTACCGCTGCATGGACAGAAGATACCCCGAATCCCCCGAAGATTGAAGCTTCATTGTGGAATTCAATGCCTTCTGGTGTGCATTACGCGGCCAGGATCCAAGCACAGGCACGTCTATCCGCATGCTGCTTCTGATTCCCTGGCCCCTGAGCTGTAGATCTAAAGAGCAGGAAGTTTGGCTTCAGGGGCCTGCGCTGGGTGGTGAGGCGCCACTGGAACCGGAACTCCCCCCGGTTTCATTGACGTCATCTTGGCCACAGAAACCACAGCGGAGACCTGAATCCAAAAAAAGTGAATTGGTCAGCTGTAGCTTATTTGCCGTATCTTGAATATGAACACCGCAAACACGAAACAGGCTGGTAAATTGAACCGTTGGGAACAATCCGGCTGCTCCTTCTCGCAAGCGTTCGCATTGCAGAATGGCTGAACGCTTTCGCAGGTGGTAAGCCGTCGTGTGTCACAGCGGCCCCAGCACTCCGTGCCGCACGCCGGGTCTTCCTTCACACAAAACCCCGAAGTTCCTTCGAACTGGCAGCAGTAGCTGTCGCAGCTGACTTCGGAGCCATTCCAGTCTGCAGTCCAGTTTTGCTTGCACCTGCAGCCATCTTGCGTTGTCTGAGTCGAAGGACTCGAAGAACTGCCTCCTTCGTCACCGGAGGCATCATCCGACACCGCCGACCCATCATCATCATCAGACGTTCCTTCCACAAAGCTCGTTAGCAAGTTGCTAGGCAGACTTACGAACGGGCCACAATCATCCTCCCTCTCGGCCAGAGGCCACTGATTCGCATAAAGGTTGAATGACTTCGTGAAGATGGATCGGATCTTCACGGTCAGGGACAGGTCCAAGCCCCAGAATTTCTTGAGGTTTGCCGAACATTCGCCCGCCAGAGCCTCACCTTCTAACGTCCAGATCGCTTGGTAGAAGACTTTCAAGACGAATGCTGCTTGAAGGATCTTGTATGCTGTAAACGTCACCACTGGCTTCAAGTACAGCATTGCTGTGGCCTTTCCGTCGAAGGTGGCTTTGGTGTCAAGCTGGTCCCAATTGAAATTCAAGCTCCGCTCTACCTTGCCAGTACTGTCCCGGTAGGTTGCAGTAAGTGTCAGGCTAGCATCCGCCGCCGCAGTCAGACCATAACTTGCCTCAACGGAAGCTTTGACGCCCGCATAAAGGCCTGCATCCACGTGCAAATATACCTTGGCCACTAGGAGAAACCCGATGATCATGCCTGGTTCGGATCTAGACTAGACTTGACCATACCGTCGTGAAGCAGGTTCGAAAGAAACCAAGGTGCAGGAACAACCCCCACCATGAATTTAATGGGAACGCGCGGAAACTTGATCAGCTGCCTCTCCTGTCTCAGGCTTTCTCTCCAGTTTACAGCCGCAAACGGGACAAATGCAGTGGAATGCTACGTTGAGGGAAAGTCCTGCACGAAGAACACTCTACAGTTCCGGCGAGAGCCCCCAAAAACTCGGGAGAGCCTCAGAGAGTTGAGCCACCTTCTTGCCACTGACTTCCAGGAGATTGGCCAGGGTGCCTGGTTGGGCACAAAAATCTGCCAAAAGCCTGCCTCAACCCCGAAGCGAAGTTAAACCGGCCAGCGTCGTCTCTGGGAGCCCACGCCTTTGATCTCCAGCATTGCCAGCTCGGTAGCGCCCCCCGAGATCCTTGGTTTGCATATACGGGGAAGGGTGGCTTTGGAGCAGCGGCACGGCTTGCAGCTTACGTTGAAACGTTTCGGAGTTTCCTGGTGTAGACCCAAAGCGGGAACTGGCTCTCAGGCCTCGGCGCCTCCCAGGCCCCAGACCCAGGGTACAATCGACAAGATGCTCAGATCGCTGATCAAGGCTCTTCAGCTGGAAGGTCACCTTTGCGGTTAGCTTCGAGGACGCCTCGCAGGTAGAGACGCAGGAGTTGCAAGATGTTGCCTGCTGGATGGCCGTCTTCAGCTGGTCTCCTGCTTCAATCTCCCTGGCGACCAACAAAACAGCCCCTGACTGCCCCTATCCCGCCGAGCAAGTCATGAATGCACGGCTGCACACCCTGACCGTTCACAAAAAAAATCGGGTTTTATGTCGGCTGTTGCACGCATGCTCGGCTATGGTTTGCAGACCGCTCCTCTGTCAAAGGAGAAAATCTTGAAGGTCTTGGAGGTGCTGAACTCGTCCAAGCCCAATGCCTCTAATGCCACCCAGACGGGTGCAAGGGCAGCACTGGCGAGGGATTTCACAGCCCTCCAGGTGCTCTTCCTTAGTCTTGAAGCAAGCCCTTTTGTGCGTCAACATACGGCCATCCTCAAAGATCTTGAAAGTTGCCGAACTGCCAAGCCTCAAGATGGAGGACAGGAATAGCCGCCGGGGTTTGCGACTCTTCTGGTCCTCTGGCTGCTCTAGCTCGACCGGCATCTTGGGCGCAACGGCGGAGAATGGTGCCGAGACGGTGATGTTTGCAAACTCGAAAACACTGCCGTAGTCTGTGGAAGTGTAGGTCACGGAAACCCCGTGCTGGGAAACTTGCGGAGCTTCGATGGTTTGCACCCCATTCGGCGCCACCTCGCCCAAGAACACCTGCAAGTGCTTCACGAGATACTATCTCTAAGCCTCGAAGCTCCGAAACATCAAGCCGGAAATACCCGGAATAGAGCCATGGCAATCCGCCTTGACCCCACAAGAAGCAGGATGGCGCGTTGACGCCAGGATCACACGACCCTGGAGTGACTTGGTGGTTTCCAGGAAGTTGTCGAGTGCATCTGCCCCAGAGAATGCCAGCAGCAACACCCGCTCCTGAGGGACTTGGGATTTCCGATTCAAAGGCAAGCGTACCTCACCCTCCTCAGACTTTCGGGCTCCTGGGGACAGTCTGCACCAAGTATGCCCTCGAGATGATCCAGGAAGATGATCTGGGTGCCCTCTCGCTGCACAGTCTCGTGTTGCAGATGGAATCGCAGTCCGCTCTCAGGATCTATGTAGTTCTGACGGATCACACCTCCGCTCAGACTGCGGCCTCCCGTGGGCTCTGCAAAAGCGCGTGGGCTGAGCCCAAGTGAAATCGAAACCCACTGCAACAGGCACAAGTCCCACGAGGAGTAGGGCCGGAAACATGGCTCGACGGGAGGGGACTATTTTGTGGCAGGTCCTCAGCTGATGCCTTCGAAAGGTTCCCAAACGGCTGCGACTCGCTCCGACACGTAAGGCACGAAGGATTGTTATTCTGGCCTTTTGCTGCATCAAACTGTCGAAACCAACTTCTGTTCCTGGACGATCGCAAACGGATTGCGAATCGAAATCACCACACCAAACCAACCCCGATGTGATGCTGGATGAAGGGGAACAACTGCTGCGCCTTACGCACGATCCCTACAACGACTCCTGCAGCTGCTAGCAGTACCATAACTGAGTGTTGGCTAGCATAACGGTGAGGATGATGAATTATGCAGACAAGTGCGCATGCAGTAGTTGGTCTTGTCACTCGCATATCCATTGTTTGCGGAGTGATTTGTTCTCAGGAACCCCACGAGGAACGGGGAGGGCCTAGGGTTGAGTTGGACATGACTGTGCCATACTTGCACTTCGGCTTGAATGCACTGTTCATGTGGTCCTGTTGCTTCTGCTAAACTTCCGCAATCTGCAACTTCATGGCTTCCTTTTCCGGCGCTCAGGGTCGCTGTTTTGGGAGATGGCCACATCTGCAGAAAAACGTGGCGAAAACGCATCTGCGAAAACTTGTAGCTATTTTAGCGAGTGCAGTCCAGTCTCTTGGAAAGTGTTGGAAGGATGCTTCAAGAGGTTCCCCATTCCCAGGAGGCTGGCGCAAGGTGCCAGGGTCCCATGAGCAAGCAAACAGGTAAGAATCACTTCCTGCGCTCCACCGGGATCTTGCACACGAGACCCGCTGAAGGAAATGCACTTCTGCATTCAAAGATTATTACTGCGTGCTAGGCTCAAAGTGCTCCGCGGCTCAGCCGCGGTGTGCACCATGTGCACCTCCACAAGCAAGATCTGACGATATGCAAGCTTTCCGAGCAGACTCCACTGCCGCGGCCATGAAATCTATCCTTGCTCCCTTGCTCCCTTGCTCGCCTGTGCGGACGAATCAGAATCACTTCAGCCCCTGCAGGGTCAGGGCTCAGGCTGGGCTTTCTGGCACACACGCACACGCACACACAGGTCAGATCTGCCTTGATCTCCTTTTTCTTAGCGAGTCGGAGTGGGCCAGGCGTGACCTCTTCAAAAGTCGAGAGCCTCCCGCTTGTTGCATCTGGCAAACACCGCCTCGAGAACCTCATCGGTGTCCATGTGTCCCAGCCAGTCGTCGATGCTCATCTGTTGCAATGTACAAGATGCCCACTTCCCGGTTCTAGGACCTCCAACTCCTCAACTCTAAAATAGGGCCTGGATCTTGGGAGGAAGCGCGACCGTGAACGAACCTCGGGTGGAGCTTGGGACTTAGGACGAAGACGGAGCCTCACAGCCATACAGCCAGAGGTGAATTGGGCACAAGGCTTGAGGCTGCCCGGACGTTGGAGACTGCCTTCTCCTGGCGGGCCCGAGAGGCAAAGGTCTGAAAGGGTGCATCCGAAACCTGTTTTCATTTCTGCAAATTCCTATCTTGGAGAAATTCCCGAGACATGGATATTTCAGCAGGATCCATAACCTGGAGTATCCCTGAGTGTCAGCCTTCGTGATGTTGACGGCCAGGTCAGTGTCCTGACAACGAATCGACAAAAAAGCATCTCAGATGCTAGGTGCCTCAAGAGGCACATGAGATTTGTCAAGCGACGACGCACACTCTTCCAGATGCGGAACAAGCTCCTAAAGCTTGGCATCCGGCTATCGCCAAACCCGCCCCAAAAATCCACAACCAATGGGAAAGCGATGATCCTGAAGCAAACTGCAAACATGGAACCCGCCTTATTGTGAAGGCCGATGACCTGCCCTGCGTAGACTTCTTCCGCCGGCTGCGTGACAGGGGAGAGTTGAAGATTAAACCCTATAGAGAAGGAAGGTGGTCGAAGCCAACAGACTTCTATTCTGACTATCAGGAGTCCCCCGATCCGTGCACGGGGTCTCGAGACGGATCGGTAATGGAGTAATATCATGATATCAGAAGCTACTAACCAGGAACCTCGAGATCTCACTTGCCTCGAGTTCCACACTCCGCTCTAGCTGCTAGCTTTTTCCATAACACCCCTGAAAATGGTTTCGCGAGGGGCTGGCGTGAAAAGAGTTGTCCGAGTGCGTCATCCTGCACCACCTCCAATTACATTGCTAGCGAAGGTTATTCCATTGTTCATCGGATGTCACCCTCACCACAGTAACCCTTTGATGAGAGCAGGTTGTCAGGCACAAAGCATAGTCTCGTACATTTATCCTGCACAAGGCCCATCAACTTATCACAGGTTTTTCAGAACGACGATCCTGTGCTCATTCTGGGACTGAATGTATCCTTGCCACACCTCGACGAAGAACTTACCCCGCTGTTGGAAGTTCAGGATGCTGTAGAAGGTGGCCTGCAAAAGACAGATGCTCCGTCGGGTTGCTAGCTTCTTCCATCTCCGCTGCTCGGGTTCTGTGCAATGACACGCATGAGCAGTCCCTTCGTCGTGTGCAACTAGCGACCCGTAGGCAAGGTGCGGCACGCCTTCCCGGTAGCACCTGTGGTGATGGATCCCTTGTCCTGGTCAGCAAAGAGTCAACTCTCCAGCTTGCCTGAACCTGAGACTCAAGAGCAGGTCTCAGAAAGCACAGCGATAGCAGAGTGCAAACTTCTCGTTTAAAGCGGTCCCGCAGCTTGATGGTCGTACCGTCGAACCTGTGAGCATGCTGTGTCTCATCCTCTACTGGTTCGCACTGCCGCAGTCGCAATGCCCAGTTCTGAGGCATTGAAGCCCAAGGACAGCAGCACTGCAGCACATCCAGACGAGAGACTCGCCCCAGTGTGAGAACTGGGAGGTCATGACCGCGGTACCAGAGGTCCTGCAAAGTTGCTCATTGCTGTGGCTGAGCACCGCACATCTCACTCTAGTGTGTTGACTTAGCAAACTGCGTTCCGAAGCACATTCCTTCGCTGGCGGAAGCAATGATTCAGAATCATGACCACTGCCCAGTTGCATCTTGCTCATCATCAACGATGCCAACCGAAAAGGCAGCAACGACACTCACAGCAACAGCAACAGCAGCAGCAACAGCAAAAGCGACGAGCTTCATCACAACTCTCTAGACCTTGGCCATCACACTCGATATCACGAGCACCATGGTCAGCCTGCGAGATGAATCACTTCCTGCATACATTTACGGTCCTGTGCTCTTCTTGTTCCTCCAGCTGTGAGAAAAGAACTAGCGTTTAAGCTCCTCTGCATGAACTTGCCGGGCATGCCGATGGTGCAACGCCTCAGCAACGCCGTCTCTCTCCTTCCGCAGCCGCTGGTTCGCGCAGATTTGGGCACGTCGCGTTGGGATCTCGAAGCTCAAGATCAAGGAGTTCTCAACGGCTCCAGTCTGCGACACAAACAACGTTCTTCGCTGCATCGGATGGTGTTCGTTGACCCTCCCTTGCAGATGCTGCAAAAGTTGCGCCTCCATACCCTTCATGACACCGCCTTTCTTCTGCATCTCCTAGCTGGAGCAGGCACGAGAACACTGAGCCACCTGCAAATAGCCAGCAGGGCTCGACAAGAGGTAAGTCAACACAACATTGGGAGTGAGAAAGGAAACCGCGACTCCTCCATGATGACTCCCTGGTACTCCGTAGGCACGTCCACTGCGACGTCCTGCTGATGCCGGCTGTATCGATCCGGGGAACATGGGAAAGGCTTCCCCTTTGTTAAACTTGTGCATATCGCCGCAGACGCGCTGCGGCCTCGTATGGCTCCAAGTTCTTGCCGGTCTCAGGATCCTCGCCTCGACTGTCAGGGAAAGGCTCACGCAGCAAAAACAGCGACGGGCAGCTATGCAGCAAGCGTGAGTGCTGAGATCAAAAGCAGCAGCAGCAGCAGCAGCAGCAGCAACAGCAGCAGAGGAAGCACTGTGCAAGAGCTGCTTTGGCAGCGGTGCTTGTAGCCAAAGTCGCGGAAGTCATCATTTTTGCTGCTTTATGTCGCTCTGATCTCAGGAGTGCACGCAGCAGCACCTCCGGTGCACTGACCATGAACTCGAAGCCCTGACGCGGGGCTTGGGCCGTCCAGAGCCGGATCGCCAAATTCATTGCCACCATGCTATCGACATGGCCCGGGTCAGCGAATTTTCCGAGCCTCGCGGCGCATGTTCTCCATGAGGATGCCCAGCCTATCGAGCAGAGGGGTTCCTGGTGGGTAAGCAGTTCAACTCTACTTCCCCCTGAGGGCCCGGGCTGGAGCGTCCCTCTGCCCTTCACTTTGAAGCTCTCAGACCTGCGAGTCGGAAGCCAAGAAGACGCCCGAAGAAAGGGCCTGAAACGTCGAGGCCCCGGCGTGCTGCCAGGTTCAAAGCGCAGAGCCAAGTTGGTGAGGCACTCCTTCTCCAAACGGGCCTGGAAGCAGACTTTCTCAATGGAAATTAAGCAACACGCCCCGCAAGTCGTGTCGCCGTCAGGTTGTGTCGAGTTCATGGTGGGACTGGCTCCCAGCCGTCACGAGGCCTTGATCTGGACAGCTGTGACTTTCGTGGACTCCTGACAGCGCCGGCATCTGAAGGACTACGCGTAACTGACAACGTGGCACCCACGCACACAGTCTTGGCTTCGCATCAGGCCCGAACCTCCGATGCACTTCGTTACACTTCTAAAGCCATCCCTCTAATCGACCCAATCGTCCGACAGGCATGTCCAAACAGAACCCGAAGAAGAACTCAAGACGGTCCGAAGACCTGCAAAACCATCCGGCAAGCCTGCACGGCAAAAAGGAAAGCCGGAGCCACAGTGCGCCTTCAGCTGTGCCGCGAACGGGGACTTGTTCACCGAGAATTCCATGGCAACCGTCGGCTCCTGAACGTGCAAAGTCCCTCTTCGGGCATCTTCCTGTCACACATTTCCCGACAGTGAACCCAAGAGCCCTGAACTCTGCAAGCCCAAGACGCAAGAGTTCAGACCTTCGTCCAACGAGAGGGCCATAAACCCCAACTAGGTCTAGAAAAACTTTGAAACTCTTCGATGTCCCTCCGTTAAAGAGGCTGATACAGCATCGCACCGCGCCTCCACCTGGATCGGAGGCAGAGGCCTGGCATCGTTCTGGTCCACCACGGTGTCGCCAATGGTCACCTTTCGTAGTCGGCATCTCACGTTCGCGGGGTGCACAATGGCACGTGCAGCAGGGGAAGCAGGTTTAGGAGGATCTTGCCCTACAGGCGAGCATTGCCAAGACCGAATCCCAAGTGCTCTCGCCCCAGGCTCTAGTCCCACATGCTGCCAACGTGGGGCGGACTCATCTGATGACAAGTTGCACCAGTCTGAGCGGAGGACTTCGGTGAGGCCAGCGAAGGCACAGATGTCTCCGGCCTTCACCTCGCTCGTCCGCTCATCGCACGTGCAGCAGTCCAGCCGTGTGCCTCTCTCACAACTGAGCCGAGAGTCTTTGTCGATCTGGATTCGATCGTTGTTCTCGAAGTGCCATAGCTTCGTGACCTTGGCTAAGGAAACAGCAACAGCATCGCTTCACTCAACCTCGCGACAATGCACCCAGACTCACTATCTCCTCTGGGGCGAATGCCCTCACGGATCCTAGTGATCCTAGTGGGATCAAACGGTAACACATGGCACTACCTCCTCCCCTCTCCCCACCAACCGCGCGAGTGCAAACTCCTCCTCAGTGGTGAGTTTGAGGTGCGAATACGTGTAGTGCACATCTGTCTGCATTTGGCGAAGTCTGGGCTGGGGCGGTGTCGGGTCAGCAGCCGCCGTGTGTTAGTGTGGCTGTTGAGCCCTTGGAGGTTGCTGCTGGTTGGTGTGGTTGGAGTCCGCAGCTGGGATACGGTACTTACGTTACTCACTCTCTCTCTCGCTCTCTACGAGGTGGGATCCCCAGGGCGGTCAGGTCTACACGGAATTGAGCGAAAGTGCCTTCATCCCCCGAATTCAGACGCTGAGTACCGCATATGTGCTTGAAAAGACACTAGGATTGCGAGGCCAGTTCGGGCCTCTTGGATCGAGTTTGCCTGAGAAAGGACCAGGATGTCCCCCAGCCCTGTTTAAAGAATTCGCACAGGCGGGTACAGCAGGAACAGACTGAACGACATGTACAAAACGTGGCTTCCCCATCGTAATGAAAGAAAGGCTGCCTAAGGGTCCATGTGTCAGAATCCCCCGAACACAGTCAACCAAGCAAAGTAGACAAAGAACACGTACATGATCCTGGGTATGACAAACATGTCAGCACTCCCCTCGAATTATCCACGGTCTCTCACTTTTGCTCTGCATCTTCAGTCATCGGCTGTTCCCCCGCATGCGCTTCGTCCTCCTCATCCCCCCAATCTACTTCGTCAGGGGTTGAGCTCGCTGCGGCGTGGTACTACGCGTCCTCGGTCTTGTGGGTCTGGTTGGGGTCCCCCATGTCCTTCTCTTGAGGGCTTGGGTTAGCCGTGGCACGGTGCTGCACATCCTCGGGCTTCTGGCTGTCAGGACCTTCTCGGCCTTGTTCTTTTTGCCGTGGCGCAGCTCGGCAGTCCGGGTGTCCTGTGTTTCCCCGTGCCGCTGGTTCGCCAGGACTTCTTTGCGTTACTCACTCACTCTCTCTCTCTCTCTCTCTCTCTCTCGCTCTCTCTTTCTTTCGCAAGGGTTCTTCTTCAAAACAGCCGAAGGGGCACCGACACCCCGCGCGCACCCGCGCGTGAATGCACTGGTCGCAAGGGTTCTCTCTTGTTTGTCTTTCTGCCGGGCGTAGGGGTCGCGTGCGACCCGCAGGCCCGTGGTCGGGCCCATCTGTATATTGAGTGGTCGGCTTTGGGGTAGTCCTGACTGTGGCAACGAACTACCAAGTGAGGGTGCGTGAAAACCCCGACCCATCTGCTTGACCCTTAACATGGTTATCTTTTGATTTTACTCTTATCGTTTTGCAGGACTTTGGGACTGTAAGATCTGAGCTGATGTTACAAACATTCGTTCTCGTTGCTCTGGGGTGTGTATCATCCCTCAAGTGGGCTCCCAGCTTCCGAGTTGTCGCCCCCGTCCCTTTACGCCAAACGCAAGAAACAACCCCGCCTCGTCACAGCGCCCCTATAGCAAGGGTTCGTTCTCTTTCTTTCGCCAGGGCTATGGGCAGGGGATTTCTCCACTGCCCGCGCGCGTTTGCGCCCCCGACCGTTGTGGAAGGGGATGGAGCGACAAAATCACACCACTACGCCTGTTGACCAAAGGCAAACACGGCAAATGGTCTGTGTGGTGCAATCAGGGAGTTGGCATCAGTACGGGCCAACAAGTAATGACAATAAAGGCAGGAGGGCTAACTCCCCGATGAAGTGAGCAGAAAAACTGTCAACTTGGCTTGAAGTGTACCGGCTGAATTGAAAAAGGGTCTTCGTCCTGCACAGAAAGGTACATCGCCTCAGAGCGGAGGCACGTCAACTGTGGTTCGGGATGGCTCCAGCGGCCCGTCTAAAGTACGTGGAAAACTGAGAGATGAGGGGTGACCCCCCTTGCCCGGTACGTAAAAGGCGGAGAGAAAGTTTGGTGCTGATCAGAGTCTTGGCTAAACATGCATGCCGGTACATAAACATGGGTCGCAGTGGCTGTTTGTGAATATGCAACAAGGAAAGCAAAGCGCCTAAGAAAGCGAACAGCAGCAACTAAAGGTAGAAACGTTCAGCTGAGCGACCGTTTTCAGGGTTGCCCCCGTCACGCAGATCAAAACTAAGAGACAAACCCTGTAGTGAGGTTTTCACTTGCCGCTCAGATCTCGACCTTGATGACGACCTCCTCCTTTGTTGGACCACCTTCCGCGGTCTTTCTCCCAGGTCCCCCGCTGCCTTTGTTTTTTGCGGTAGGCTCTGTTGTCGTCTTTGGTCGCCTCCGGTATGCGTGCCGTTTGGCTTCATCTGTTGGGTACCTGTCCAGCCCGTAGGGGATGTTCCCCTGTTCATCACGTTCACGGAGTAGTTGGTGAAGTCGTGCTCGCTGGTGGTTTGTGAGAGCTGGTGGAGGGCCCGCAGGGAGTGCTGTAAGAGGTGCACGGTCGTCGCTGTCGTGGCCCTCTTTCTCTTCCTTCTCGTAGGATTCTTCCTCGGGGTGTCCCCCGTCGTCACTGCTTGCCTCGTTCAAGGGTTGTAAGCGAGGGCGGATGAGCTCGGACAGTCCTGCGTAGTCTGAGTCTCGTTCTTGGCATTGTCATCGAAGACGTCGACGGCGGGACCCAGCCCTTGTGCATCGACTTGGTGCTCCGAGGAAGGGGGAGCCAACTGGTTCGGGACACCATTGTCCTTGTAGAAGGGCTGGTCGCGTAGGATCGGCTGGGTCGTATTGTCCTCATAGCTCTCTTCGAGGTTGGAATTGGGAGGAGTTTCCCCGTTTGCTTCACGACACGGCTCACTGCAGAGTTGTGGTTCTTGTGTGTCCGCTCGGCGCTCCGAAGGAAGAGAGGCCAGTGGGATCGGGAGCGCAAGTGTCCTTCTGGGTCTCGGTGCGCAGGTAGGGCTGGGTCGTATTGTTCTCATAGTTCACCTCATAGTTGGGTTTGGAAGGAAGTTGCTCCCTTGCCTCAATATGCGGTTCTCTGAAGACCTGCGGATCAGGTTTTGGTTGCGAGGGGTGGCACGGAACAGCTCGGGCAGCGCGGGCTTGCTCAGGGGTAAGTCCCCTTAACACACCTCGGACAGGCCTTGTCGTAGGAGTCAGCGTGGATGTAGTCAATGTCACGAGTCAATGTCGAGTTTGTGGAGGCATTGAGCTGAAGGCCTTGTAGGACCTGCTAGTCCGGGTGGTGTTGGCGCCGATGAGGAAGAGGATGCATGCTTGGTGAAGGCGCTGGGTCCCTCCAGAATGTCGCGGATGGAGTCCATCAGTGGGTCATCGGCAGCAAACTTGTTGTAGACGTCGGTCACCGGGGCCGTCCCCGCATCCTCCTTCACCAGCCTGGCCTTGTCCTTCTTCTTTTTCTTGTGCTTTTTCCTCGTAGGTGAGGCAGAGTCCTGACTCTTGGCGCGTTTTTTTCTTGCCTTTCTTGGTAGGGCGGGATGCAATGCCCGGGCGTCCTCGAGTTCATGCTTCCGCAGCAGCTTCCTGTAAGTGTCATAGTTAGGGTTAGTGACCCCGCACAGGACGCACTTGTGCCCGGTTGTCAGGTGACCAGTGTGGCCTTTTCGTCCTCTAAAGCACTTCTGGCACACTTCAGGGGATCGCCCCCTTTCCGCATCGCCCCTGGTGGGCTCCATTCGTAGTGCAAACAATTTATTCACAGTCTCCCTGCCAAGTCACGAACTTGACGATGGCAAAGCCGACGTTCGAGGTAGACCCCCGGGTGGATCGGCTTGTTGGAGTAGAACTTGAGTAGGCTCGCCTTGCCGTACGGGTAGCGGTAGACAAACTCCCCGAGGTTCAGCAGACACCCTCCTGAACTGATGCACAACGATCTCCTCGGCAGGGGCGATGGGCTCGGACGGCGCAAACTTTGCGGCGAAGTTGTACTGCAATGGCGGCAACGGAAAGAAGAGAGCCCCCTGGGCTAACGACAGGGCTAACCTAGCTGGGCCGCTTGAGGATAAATGCGGCGGGCGAGAGCTCAAGCACTGCAGGGAGAAACACCCGCAGCACCCCTCAAGGGGGTACACCCCCTGAGTCAACTCCGTGTCTCCCCACCAATGCAAGGGGGGCAACAGTCCCCCAAGCAAAGGGTGCAGCACTTGAGCCAAAATCGTTCTATCTCTCTCTCTCTCTCTCTCTCTTTCTTTACCAGGTGGGAGGCCCAGGGAGCATCCAAAGGGTTCTTCTTCCTCCTTCGGGCATACGGGGCGGGTCAGGCCCCTCCTCGGTCAAAGTGGCCCCCCATTTTCTGGGAAGGTGTTCTCTCTCTTGCTTGGTTGCTTGCTTGCAAGGCGTTTGGGCTAGGGGTCCCGGGACCCTTCGCCCTGCGCTCACGCGCTACGCCCTCTGAGAACCCTCACTCTCTCTCTCGCCCTCTCGCCCTCTCTCTCCCTCTCTCTCTCCCTTCGTGCTCCTGCGGTTCAGGGCAGCCACTGGATTCGGACAAAAGGATCGTTGCGTTTCACAAACGGATCGGACGAACATAAGCCTCTCTCTCCCCCCAAAAAAATCCAAGCACTGCTTGAGGTTCTTTGACAGAAGTAGCTCCCGGAGCGATTTGCATTGGTCCACCAGGATGGGTGCTGATCGAGCTTCCGGTAGCTGCGAGCGACTTCGCTCGAGTAAGGCACCCGAGAACAACCTATAACAACACAACACAGCACAGATGCACTCCGCCGATCACGACTCCTGAAACTTGTGGAGGAGGGATTGGGACGAAAGCTAGGGCAGAGCAGCAGTGGAGAAGCTGAGGCAGCCAAGCGGACTGCAGGCCCATCGATTCCAAATAGATGGCCCATGGTCGCACTAGCAACACAACACAAGACCCTAAGCCCTAAACTCCAGGGAGCCCTAAATCCGAATGTGGTCACTTGTCAGCCAGTTTAGGGTTTAAC